ATATATATATATGCAGTATTTATGCTTTCTTCTTCAGTTCCCCCTACAACCCTGTCTCATCTTATATGACTCTATACTGTTTAAGGAAGTGACACAGCATCCTCTTGTCAACTCTATGCTGCCTTGATCAACGAGGGCTTCCTCAGAAAGCTGTCCTCTGAGCTGAGTGGACTAAACAGTATTGCTCTAAGAGCCCCATTCAAAGTGGCCCTGATTATTGCCTGTAGCACTGCAGAAAGTGACCACGGGTTGCAGTGACTACAATGCTCTGTTTTAAAGCAAATACACTGAAGCAGTGTTAACAATTAACTTCACAACTGGTGTTTTTATGTTAACCCTAGTTGACTGATTCTTGTTATTAGAGTTACATGAAATTTTGGGGGACATTTTAAATTGAAAGTAGCCATTACAGCTGGTTAGTGATTATCTGTTAACTTTTTTTTTTTTGCATAGACTGAAGAAAATGTTACATACATCTAGAACACTGTTCAATGAGTAACTACTGATTTCCTTTGAGGTTACGTCACATTATTAAAGAGAAATTCAGGAACACTGCGATAACACCTGTTTTCAGACTATGAAGTCTGTAAAAAATTAACAGCTTTATCTTAGCGTCGCCTGTTCCCTAAAAGGCTCATCTATTCATATGTGAGTGTTTTATGTGCGGAGGGGGATTTTTTAAAGATTAAACATTATCACAAAGTTGTGGGAATGTGAACTAGAACAGCAAATGATGCCTAATGATGAAGATAGCAGAACAGGTCTTATGCATCCCTGTGTCACAAGCAAAATGCCTGTAGTTACAGGCTACTACAAGATTTATATGTACAGACATAAGGAAAATTAAAGAATACACTCTCCAGGATGCATTTGATTTATTTTGGAGAACTAGTCCCAGCACTTCCTGAACTTGGAGCTCACTGTTATTTCTGTTGTGCTACATTAGATCTGTACAAATAACGACAACAATAGAATTCAGCAGACTGCCTCCTCTACAATTAGGACACGCGCACACACACAGCAACCATTCAAGAGCTCATTGCAGACATTCAATACAATGGAATAATTCCAGCGCAGAGAAATCACATATCTACTGATCCTGGTTACTGGAAAAAATTAACTAAAAGTAAACTTCTCATCATGAACTCTCCTAATTTACATTAACAGCACTGTTGCTCAAACATTAGCGTTTTTGCTCCAATTTTGACAACTTTAACACTATTAGGAGATACAGCAATTCCACCCCAACCCCCAACACAAAGCATTTTGGGGTTAAAAAGAAGTCCTCTTTAAATAGAAACTTAAGCAGGGAGGCTACATTGGCAGTTGGCACACACAGCAGCCCCACACTTTTGGGTTTTATTCCATCTCAGGTTTGCAGCAAGCATGGTAGTTCGGTCCTCTGCTCATCCATGCGTCCCCCCTGGACCCTCAGGAGGAGGGAGAAGAAGTCCTCATCATCCATGGGACCTGGAGCCCTGCTGCGCTGGTCCTCTAGCCTGCCCTGAGCCTGTGGGTCAAAACAAATTGTGAAAATGAAAGCAATGCAGTGAAAGTAGGTAAAAGGTTTGCTGCCAACACTCTTTCTCGCATTAGTGAGAAACTAACTTTTCTTCTCAGAAACAAAGCAGAAAACACCTCAGCTCATGACAAACACATCTAAACAAACAAGCTCATTGCTTACTTGTGTGGTTAGAATCATATCGTACAGATCATCTTTGGGCGCAGGAACTGGTGCAGGCTTTTTCACAGACAGGGACAGTTGTCTTATGCTCCCTCTGACACTTCTGGTCTTTGTTTTTGGCGGTGAAGACCTTCCAAGCTGTGCCCTCTGGTCCTCGAGCCGCCGTCCTTGTGCAGTGGCCACCAGGTCAAAAAACTCCTCTTTCTGCAGTGAAGTCATGGAGGAAAAGACGACTGTAAAGAAATGAGAGAGAAAAGAGCTTAAATGGTCAAAAGGCGGGGGAAAGGCAGTGGTCAGTGGTCAAGGAAAAAAACATGGAAACATGGTAGCTGAAAATTCCTGAGTCAGGGAGAATGGGTAGCTGCATTTGATTCTGCTTGTTCAACATGAGTCATAGCTCAAAAACAAATGCAAAAGTTGTATCCTTTTCCACACTTTACCATGGCAAAACAGAGCGCTTACCTCTGTTAACTGGTTTGGAGGTGTTGGGCTCAGAGTGGCACCTCCTCCGCCTCACCCCACTCTCCAGCCTGAAGGAGCAGCGCTGGTCATTGAGCCGTCTGCCCTCCTGAAAGGTGCAAAGCAGGTCATACAGCGCCTCTGGGAAGTCAGGGGTTAACCGGTGAGCCTGAGAAAACACAGGTGTGAGGGTGAAAAAGACGGAGGGAGAGAGGAATGGTTTCTGAGTGAATGGCACAGACTGTTTGTTGGCAAAGCACAAGAATCCACTCCTACGTACTCCCACATGCTCTGAAATAAAGTGGTACCTGCAGTTCTTCCACCGTGAGACTGTTTTTCTCTTGCAGTGGCTGGTGGCAAAGTGTTAAAGTCAACTGATTTACAACACAGGTAATCTCAGGGTAAGAAGAGCAAATACCAACCTTTTTGAGATCCTCTTTGTGGTCTGGTCCCCCCTCGGGTTGTAGCTCAGATGAATTTAGCTTGTTTGTGTCTGCCTCGGGGTCATTCTGTGTGGCCTTTTCATCCTCTGTGCTACAGGGTTTTTCAGTTTTTTCTTTAAGCACTTCATCCGGCTGCCCTTCACTTTTACTGTCATTTCCTTTGAGTCCATTATTTGTGCTTTCTGTTATCTCTGGTTTGTCTTCTTCTCTGGTTATCTGCTGTTTCTCCAGGCTTTGCTCTTCTAAATTTATTTCACCCGCTATTTCTTGTTGACTGTTTTCCTCTTCTGTGTGCTCCTCTTCCTTTTTGATAGCAAACTCCTCGCTACAGCTTTGTACAGTGACATCTGCACCGCTTGGCGCCCTAATTTCAGTAATACTTTCTACCAAATCTCCATCTTCAATGATGACAAGAGGCTCCAACAGCTCCTCTTCAGCCATTTCAACTTTGATATCTGTGTTGTCCAGTGGTCTTTCTTACAATCCTTATGATCCTTGTGAGAAAACAGAAAGAAGCTGGAGGTGGATAAAAAAAAAAGGTGATCCAAAATATCAGAATTCAGTTAGTACTTAAAAAAAAATACCATAAGGAAAAACACGACATCTATAAACACTGAAACTTAAAAGCATGATGAGTACTGCAGAGCTGCTGTGCCTTTCTTTTGAAACAAAACATGTGAGAAACCAGTTTGACAGGTTTCAGCATGTGGGCAACAGATGTTTAGGCAGAAATTTAAAAGAAACTTGAAGTCACAAACTCCTCCCAGCTATGTAAAACGTTCGACTATGTGATCACAAATGTCAGGGTCTTGTTGGTAGGTGATCACTGTTGTGTATTTTCCCAAACAGTTCAGTCGAATAATTCTTGTTGACAGATCACATTGTTATTTCCCCCCTAAAGCTACTGTCTACCACAAAGTGATTTAAATTTCAGTTAATTTTTGCCCTTACCTTTTCGTTCGCCTCGTTTCCTTTTATCTTCTCAAAACATCATCTTTCAAAGTCTTGATCCAGTGAACACAGCATTTTTGGCTTATCACTCGTCCTGTCAACGTTTTTATTAAGAGCAAAGAAGAAAAAAAGAAAATCTGCTAGTTTCACATGCCGTCGTGATGAGCTCTCGCCTTTTCTATCTGCCCTGCTACCTTCTGTCTTTCTCTCATCTCATCTCTTCCTGTTCCTCTTACCACAGCCCACCCCTATTTACTCGGCCCATATTTGACAAGTCAGGTTGGCATGAAATATTACTGTTAAAAGCAGAATCACGCTCTATATGTGTGATGTGTGTGGTTAATGCAATCATGTCCCAAAGGAAAGGTTTTATAATGCCCATGTACACTTGTTAAAGCAGCTGCTGCTTTAACTGCTGCTCATTTGGTTATGTTAACCCCAAGTGCAGCATGTTGAAACAGGCGCAGTTTTTTTTCTTAACTCTCTGTGGTTTTCACATCCTGTTGACTTGCAGCTAAAACGAGAAGTAGACTCAGACAAGTAAGGGAAGCTGTCTAAGCGAGATTATTACTTGAAAAACAAGGCTGAAAAAGAAGTTTATTTTATTTGAATGCTTCTGTTAGTGCTTGTAGCCACGTTTTTCATTCTAAAAAGAGAAATAAGTTAGGAAACTAGGGAATATCACATTTAATTTTTTTTTTTAAGTTAACACGTGAGTATCATAAGAAATATGTGGCTGAAAATGAAATGTGCAGCTCTAGTAAAACCCAAACTTGATTAGACAGAAAATCTGCTTAAATAGCCAGAATCAAAATAGAAAAAGAGAGGTTTTCCAAAGGCAAAACATTTTAGAGCCTATTTAGAATAGTTAGCCTTTACACACACGTCACCTGTATATTCTTTTAAGGTAGTTATACAAAAAAAAAGAAAGTCTCTTTCTTAGCCTAACATCTCCCACACAAGATGAATCTGTTTGCCCCAGATTCAGTTTGTTGGGATCTGGAGGCCCTATCAAAAAGCCACATAAACTACTTTTGTATAATTAAATGTCATTTCTTTGTTATCCACCCACGCACATGCAACCACCCCCGCGCACTTCTGCTTTGTGAAAATGCAGGGAGTGCAGATGTTTTGCTGTTGTGGTTACCTTTAAACCAATAGTGCTACTCCACCGTACCCACAGCGACGCTTTGTCTATCACGCGCTGCACTGTGCATGCACATTTTGCACCGTTTCCTGTCAGTCGCTAGGGGACCCAACTCTGTGCGATGTCTCTGGTCTGTGTTGTGTCTGTGAGCACAGTCGGGCAGCAGTCGTCGCCACTGTGCGTCGCCGAAGATGTTGCAGCAGCAGCAGCCTCTGACGGGCAATGGGCCATCCAACGGCCGGGGACTCGGCGTGAGTGGCCACCCCGGGATGCACGCGCTCAACTCAGTTCACCAACCCTCCCAGCATCGGCCCGACGGAGCGGAGTCGGGCCTCGAGGGTACAGAGAACGGACATGAAACCCGCAGAGATATTGGGGACATACTGCAGCAGATAATGACTATCACCGACCAAAGTTTGGACGAGGCACAAGCAAAGTGAGTCACAGCTATGCTTTCTTTCTTTTTAAAAATTGTTATTTAGTGGTATTGCCGCTGCAGCGGTATTTTGTTGTGCTGCTTTGTCGACTCCGTCTCGCAGTGACAAAGTTTCCTGAACTTCACTCTATTGTTTAGATTATTCAGCTAGAAGCTAGCTAATTAGCTGGACTAATGACATAAAGTTGCTTTTGGTGTAACCTGTACAGATTCAAACTCACATGCCAGTGTTTACTGTTTCTGTGCTGTAAGTTAGGAACACGCATTTCTTTCAGCAGCGGCTGTTATAATATGTAGCTTTTGTTAGCATGCTACGCTAACCAAGGCTAACAAGCTAATGCTAAAATAGGTAGCTAAGGACCGTGCCGATATAAATGTTAACACTGCGCTACAACACGGGTTATAATTTAATTACATAGTAAACAACTAAATATACTATCTAACATGTTGGCTGTCATATGCAGACATACTAGCAGTGAAAGGTTACCCCCTTAACTATCAGCTAGCCAGGAGCTAACGTTTGCTAAATTAGCTCGGCTAAATGTTGTCACTTTGTGATTTCTGTTTTTGTTTTGGTCGATTTGCGTACTGTCATTCTATGCCTTTGTTTACAAATAGGCTGGTAGGTCATGTTTGTTCTTTTTTATGTGCAGGAAACATGCGCTCAACTGTCACCGAATGAAACCCGCTTTGTTCAGCGTTTTGTGCGAGATCAAGGAAAAAACTGGTAGGTTTCTGCTCTATTTGCAGGAGTTTTCTTGTGCTCTCTGTCAACAGCCATGGCTTTAATTTTGTTTGGGAGCGTTATTAGACTGTGTTGACATTCTGTCATCAGGAACCAATAAAGTCATAAACAATCTGAATGGCCAAGTAAACACACAGACATAGTTTTTATACTTTCAGAGTTAAAAGAAAAATAATCCGACAGCCCTCTTAATAAATGCTTATTGGAGTATAAGTGGACTCAAATGACAACAGCTGGACAAACATAAGGTACAATTGCTACAGTGCAGTATATTATAGTCATATCAGGTTGCTGTCAGGACTATATTATCTTTAAGCTGCCACAAGGACTGATAAAGTAAATTGTTTCTTCCTCATTCTACATCACCTGTATTGACTTTGTATAGATTACTTCGTAATAAGCTAATTTTGTATTATATTTAGTATTCATGATGGGGAGAAAAGGGTAGTTAAAATAGTTCAAAATGTTTTATTTTTAAATAATAAATATATTTTATTTTTAAAAATATTTTCTACTTAGCTGTGCGCCTTTTTGAGTAATGCTTAACTTATTGCGGGTTGAGGGTTGTTTTTATTTTATTTAAGCTGCTGTGTTATATGTTGTGTCTAATGTTTTGGCCATGATAACACAGGAATTTTCCAACTTTTTCTTGGGATAAATAAAGCTGATTTTATCGCATTTTATATGCATTATAACTTCAAATTCTACATCGAAGCATAGGGTCAACTCACTGCATTCATTTATATAACAGAAGGGCGATGAGTAATCTTTCATTAAGATTTCACTTATAGTTGCACTTTAAAACCAGCAAAAAACTAGATTCTTCTAAATTCTTCTTGTAAATTTTTATCTTTCAAATGAACAAATTAGGTTATTTATGACCTCTGGTGATAAACTGGTGATATAGTTTAAAGACTTTGACTTTATTGTAATTGTCCCCTTCCAGTCATTAAACTATAATCTTTGAACCATAAGTGACAGATCTAGAGTTGCAAGATATTTTACAATATCTGTCATAGGGTAAAGGAACCTGTACAGGTATGATGAACACTTAAAAATAACTAGGTTGCACCAAGGTACAGTCTGAAGTGAAAATGTTATGAGAGTGATGCACAAAAAAAAACGAGAGCACACAAAAAACTTCTTATCTATTTCCAAACATGGTTCCATCATTATTTTGTTTTTGTTTTTTATGGTTCATTATTTGTAAAGGCTTTGGTTTAAGAGAGTTGCGAGTCTTTTACCTTCAAAACCAAGAGACTTTTGTCTCATTGACAGGCCTTTCAATGAGGAACACCCAGGAGGAGGAGCCTCAAGATCCTCAGTTGGTGCGACTGGACAACATGCTGCTGGCGGAGGGCGTAGCGGGGCCAGAGAAGGGTGGCGGGGCTGCTGCTGCTGTTTCTGCTGCCACCAGCTCTGGGGGGATGTCACCTGACAGCTCTCTCGAGCACTCCGACTACAAAAGCAAGTTGAGCCAGATTCGCAGTATCTACCACACTGAGCTGGAGAAGTATGAGCAGGTATTGTGTCGCAACAGCAGCTTAGCACTGACATTGCCTGTACGTGCTTGCTTGTACTAGAGGTACCTGGAAGCAATGTTGTACACTGGCATGCTAGATCAAGAGTTCACAGCACATAACTTTGCTTCAGGGCGGATTCATTCCTTTCCATTTGTGTCAGGTATGACTCAGTAAATCTTTATGTTGAGAGGCATTTTAGGCTTATTAGACCAACAAGCTCCACTGAAGCCCTACTTGTGAGCTAGTATCAAAGAGAAAATTAGATCTGCTATAAAATCCTCTTGAATGCAACATACAATTAAGTTCCTGAAACACAAACCTTTGCCCTATACTTAAGATTAAGGATATGCTGATATCAGTCAGGGGTGTCTATCTGACTGTGGTCATGTAGTCGAAAAACTACTCCAAGGCAACCAATACCACCCTCCAGCAATCAATATTAGTTCATAGTAAAATGAAGATTTAAATGTTTTAGAGTTTTAAGAAGAAAACCAAAAACTATGCAAAGTATACTCTGTCACATTTTCAAAGGCGGATTTTTTACAACATTTAAGAACAAAGAGAGCGGCATATTCAAGGAGACCAAGTATGAGATCCCAGTCATCACCTCGTCATAAAAACTGTACTTCCAAACTTGTGCCCATCAGCAGCTAGTTGCAGGACTTTCCGCTGACATTTGTAGTAGAACTGCCAGGTAGGGGTGGGCGATATATATGATAGAAACAATATAAATTTGGCCAACGATAGAGATTTTGACTATATCGCTCTATTGCGATAGCGCATGTTGATGATGTCATCAAGCTACGCCTGTTTTGGTCAAAAGCATAACAGCGGCTACAACCATTATCATCTACAAATTATGCCAGGCGACAGTCATAGCAAAGAGATGAAGCACTTTTGAAATATGGGGAAAGCCAAAAACTGCGCTTCCTCCACTTCCGTAACATTGATTCATTAATTTTGAATTCTCTCGCTGCTGCTCTATTCCCATGTTGTTGCAGTATATTAATAACTAACCTGGTATTGTGGATGAATGATCTCAGATGTTCTCCTGACTGAAGTTTGGCCCGTGTATAGCATCCTGCTATGCGATTACATTTGTCCCTGACCACCAGAATCCCTCACGTTAACTTTTATCGAGTGGGAAAAAAAGTTGGGGTTCATCCTCCAGCTTCACCGTGCTAATGTTATGCTAACATAGCTGTGTCGCTAGCAATCACGTAGCACAACATTATATACCAGGTAGTCCAACTTCAGTAACCCTGCGAACGCCACTGCTGTTTAGTTTCCTGTCTTCATTTATGTTGGAAGTGGTAGCAGAGCTGTACGTTTTAATTAGTTTCAGAAATCTCCCAGTCAGAACATGGTATGAAATGTTTAGGTGGAAACTAGCGAGCTAACTTCTAACTCCGTTAAATTTAAATTCTGTTTTGATGGATGCCTGGATGTTAAACTTAATTGTTACACCTGGTAAAGCAGCAACGCTGATGATTTTATTAAAGATGAAAGAATTTAGACTGTTTTTAACTCTCAGTGTTCGTTTGACTTTGGGAACTGAAGCGGACGGAGTTTTGGACCCAGATTACTCCGCGAAGCAACTCACTACGGCAGCCGTAACCCATATGGAAAAGATATATATAAATCTTATAAAGTTTTTATCTGTCTTGTATGAAAAGCATACAAGAGTGAAAACACATATAAGATCCCTTGAAAAATTATATAATGAAACTTGTATGTTTTGTATACTTACTAAAAAAATATATGAAAGTAATGAGAAAGTGGCCACTTTCATGAGTAAATCATATATGTTTTTACTATTTCTTTTCCATATGGGAATGCTCTGACAATCCATCAAACATTTTTAACAGATTTCTGCACGCCAAAATCGGTTTGAGGTCAGTAAGCACAACCAGAATTCATACATAAGGCACACTCGATTTTTGAGAAAATTAAAGAATTTTAAGTGTGCCTTATAGTGTGGAAAATACGTTATACAGAAGAAAAGAATATATCGTGATTATATATCGTTACCGCACATGCTCCTACTGCCAGGACACATAAACTGCAGAGTAGGTTTAGGAGTATCAGGGTTTGCACTCTAGTTTAAAAAAAGACAGGTGTGTTTGATAACACTGGTCAGCAGTTTTTCAGAAGTTTTTAATGGCTGTTGTTTGCAAAATAATTTTTTGTTTTTCAAGTTTACAAGTTTTCACATTTGTCAAGTTTTGTAAACTTATATCTTGTTATGTTTATGGTGGTATCTTATGATAATAGCTTTCTTCATTATGTAACCATTTAAAAATAGAGGAGCGTTAATATCAAACATTATGTTAGAAAGGATAGTGAAGTGATTACTTTAGTTGAAAAGAAAACACTGAATTTATTTAGAGCCCACTATGCCAGACTTGGTCACGATGGATTACTATGGAGAAATGTCAATTTCATCAGTTACCCAGAATATTATGAAATGTAGATATGTTGGTTTCATCACTTCACAGTGAAGTGTCAAAGTTAAATATCAAAGTATTTAGCTGTGTAGGACCCTAATAGATGAAATGTGGAGATTATATACATTTTGGTCACAGTCCTCTTAGGAACATATTATGAAAGAAATTAAACTCTTACCTTTTTGATATTTTAATATGCTTTTAAAAACGCCCAAATTCAAATTTGACACTTCGTACTTGATACATTCCATTTTTTCAAGTCCAGTTTGAAATCAGATGAATAGTTTAAGAAAAGCGGATATCTGAAAATCACCACTAGATTTGAGCCATTTTTTTTCCAACACTTCATGGTCATAATATATTTTAGTAATATATATGGTTTCAGTTTGTGGTCTTATATCTGACTTTGCAGCATATCATGAAAACCAGAGTCCACCAATTATTTTAGGCATCAGTTTCAGTTTCAGCAACTCAAAATGAGTAATGTTTGACTATGTTGCTTTTGGAAGCGTTTGTTTGTAGACCAGTGCAATATATGCTTTTTGTTATAGCCAGAAAGTGAGAAGCATTGGATTAATAGAGGTGGATATTAAGATAACACCTGTTTAAAGTCTTCTGTTATGAAGACTTAAACTATTACTATATTTACTGCATTGTATATTAGCATATTGTATGTAATATAATATATTAATATTGATTCCTTGTCAGTAGAAGAACAGAATCATTAGTGTAATCCCAGATAACACCATTAGTAATAACCACATGTTCATGACAATTTGTTGCAGTGCACAGAGTGACCTAATAAAGAGGCCACTAAGTGTGCGTGCTTACCAATAAGAACAATTGTCGTACCAATTATCCTTATTATCAATTAAACTGTTTTTTTTTTTCAACATAAAATTGTCTTTCCAGCTAGAAAATATCATAATTAACAGAAGTAATGAAGTTTTATAAAATAACACATGTATAGCGGCTTCACTTCTCTCCTTCATTGTGTTTCGTCTTGCACCACCTTTCACCAGGCGTGCACAGAGTTCACCACCCATGTGATGAACCTGCTGAGGGAGCAGTCGCGCACACGGCCTGTGACTCCACGGGAGATTGAGCGGATGGTGGCTATCATCCACCGCAAATTCAGTTCGATCCAGACCCAGCTGAAGCAGAGCACCTGTGAGGCGGTCATGATACTGAGGTCCCGCTTTCTAGATGCCAGGTGAACATTGTAGTTTTTCTTTCTTTCTTTTTTAAGGTGACCTGTTATGGTTTATTAGGTCATATAGAATGTTGCACTGATAGATGCTTACATTAAATGTGACCAAATTTTAATTAATGGAGTTAGTGTTTGTGAAAGTAATCCCTGCAAGTTACCAGCTCCAGTTTCAGACTGCTTTAAATGATCTGTTTCAAGCAGTTTTTCTCCTCATGGATGGTATGATTTCAGAAACTAATGTCGTCGCCCCCAAACATCCTTTTTGAGCCAGGAAACCTCTGTTCACTGTGTTCTAACCCTTTTTCAGACGCAAGAGGCGCAACTTCAGCAAACAGGCTACAGAGGTCCTCAATGAGTATTTTTACTCCCACTTGTCTAACCCATATCCCAGTGAAGAAGCCAAAGAGGAACTTGCCAAACAGTGTGGTATCACCGTCTCTCAGGTGAGCATGCTTCAAGAAACCAGGAGAAAGGAAAAGTTGTGGGTGTCCGTGGATTCATATACCATGCATTTACTCTTCAACTGTTACAGGCAGGATTTTAAAGATTTAAATTTAAAAAAAAAAAAAGAAGTAGTGACTGATTTCTGCTTAGGTGACCTCAAATACTTACAATTTGTATTAAGCTGTTTGAAATGGCTACTGGAGGTTTAAGAATGCTTCTTCAAAATGTGGTCATTTTAATGATTACCTTTTATTTTTGGAAGGTCTCCAACTGGTTTGGCAACAAGAGAATCCGCTACAAGAAAAACATTGGCAAGTTCCAAGAGGAAGCCAATCTCTACGCCATGAAAACAGCCTTGGGAGCTAGACAGGGCGATGATTCCCCACACACTCCCAATTCCACAGGTAACTAAGAAAATGACATGAACAGTAAATGCCTACTTGCCTTTAGGCGATAAACTCAGTTGTTAAGCCCTTCTCTGGCCCCTGATTCTCCACGCCTACATGAGTCATGCCGATATGTCTGATGATTAATGACTTGTTTATTAATGGTCAGGTAACAGTAAAAACCCCTTGGATTTCTTTATGGTGAATTATAAAAAGATGTCTGTCACAAATGACTATCAAGGTTTGTCGTTCTTCAGGGTCAGGGTCCTTCTCTCTGTCCGGATCAGCTGACCTGTTCCTCGGGGTTCCACCTGTGAATGGTGAACAGTCTGCCTACCAAATGGGAGTGCAGGTATTTACATACGTTTAAATATTAACTTGTGCTTCTCTTGTATTTTTTTCCTTTCTAATTAGGAACTTACCGTATTTTCACGACCATAAGACGCACTGTACTAAAAGGCGCAGTCTCAGTTATGTGTGCCATTACTGTATTTAACACACACACA